CCCCCCCCCCCCCCAACCTCATTCTTTGTAAGGAGTGCTGAAGATTAGAATTACAGTAAAAGAGGGTAACAAACACAGAACAGAAAGTGAAAGAGGTGAGACAAGGATGGATAGATCATGTTTGATAAGAAAAGGAGCAACCCACACCTGACGGCACGCCAACCACCCACCTCCCTTTCTCTGCCGCAGAGGTGTTTTTTTCAAGTCCAGTAAAAAGGACACCGTCTGCTGTCTGCGTCTTTATTGATAAAGGGGATTTCAGTGTGTTTCATCACAGGATATTAAAACAAACGATATACAGTTATTTTTGGTATACTCCTCAACTTCTTTTTGAGATACCGTACACTATCCCCTAAATGTCAGGTCGCTATAATGACCTGCCAGTTGCCAGTTTAAAACGTTTTCAGTACATGCACAAGCTTGATGTTTGTAATAATAAAGAAAGACGTACATGTAGATCTATTTGCTATCGGTAAATATAGAATGCCCGCCCCCCAACCCCCCCAACAAACAAACAACAACAACAACCCCAAAAAATAACACAACAAACAAAAAAATCCACACATCTTTTTGTTTTTCTTTTCAGAGTTGGAATGCTGCTTGCATTTTTGTCGAGTTGGGCAACATGAAATTTTGGTACGCCTATGGTTGTTTCCGGAATGCATAAACTATAGACCAGTCAAAAAGTTAAAGATGATCTGATAAAACCAACCGACTCGACTTTTGTCGGAAGGCGTGGGGTCGTTTTGGTTGACACAGTAGCCAAACAAAATTCTCACTGGTTGCTCAGGTTAAAAACTGGTGCTCTTTTTCTACTACTAGTACCGATTTCCCCGAGAAAGACAGACGAATTCTGGTCCGTTTGGTTTCTCGTTTGGTGGACACTCGGGCCTAGTCGAGTCGTCTGTTGACGCATCAGCCATATCTAGGCCTAGGTTCAATTTTTAGGTTCCCATGAAAAATCTGATGTCATGTTCGTAATCAGCACCTCAAATTCAGTAACGTCTGAGAGTAAGACACCGGTTTAGATGCGCGTTAACAATGTTACTATTACATTTTAAAATCGTTCATGCCCTGTTATCTATGTATTGCATTCCTCAACCTTTGACGTAGTATCGGAAACGACGAGACCGAATTTTTCCCAACTCGACAGAAAATCGGGTCGGTTCTTCTTTGTTAGACATGCGGCCTTTCGCTGAAACAAAAGTTGCGTGTAGCGGGTGCTCTCAGAGTGCTCTGGTGTAGTTTGCTCTTTCTTTCTTACCAAACATGTATCGTCCTTATCACTCCTCCGTCTTTTGTTTGTATGCTACTCTCAAGTAACACCTCTTATTTTCGGCACTTATCATGTGCTTATATACATGTATATATATACTTAATAGTGCTGCAAGTGCCGTAAAGCTCTCACTAATGGGGCCTTGACAGACGAGCTACAATTGTCGCGCAGAAATTCTGACAGAAAGTGTCGCTTACTTTTTTTGTGAGGCCGGCCAGCCACACGGGGCGACATTTAAGGCTACTGCTCGGTTCAACATAGACGATACGATAGGAGAGTCAGGGTGGCTTTGGTCATGGTGATGAGAGAGAAAGAGAGAGAGAGAGAGAGAGAGAGAAAGAGAGAGAGAGAGGGGGAGAGAGAGAGAGAGAGAGAGAGAGAG